CAGTTCTTTGTGGGATCTGATCCCTGTGTGGGATCTCATCCCTTCAGTTCTGTGTGGGATCCACAGCAGGAGACAGAAGTTCTGCCTGCAGTAGAAAACACAGAGGGCACGTTCTCCTAGCGAGCTCTTCCCATTTCTCCTGAGTGTCTGCACRGGTAAAAGCAAATGAAAGTTTGCTCAATTAGCTGCTTCCACGTACAATTATCTGGTTTACATGCCTGAATTAGAATAATTACATGCCTAAAGCAGCCAGCCAGCTCCACACACATTTGCAATACTCACAGAGTTCCTAATTTCTCTTGAAAATCCACCTTTTGGTCTCTACCCTGGCATAATTATGGAGCTTTTCTGTGTGAAACAATCACATTCACTCTCACCTTGCAATGTCTGTTGGAGGTATTTATCTGAACCTATACACACAACAGCAGAGAACACACATTAGCAGGTTCCACATTTTCCTGGACTCCTTAAAGGCTTTAATTCACCTCTCAGCCTGACAAAGATACCAGCCCTGAGCAAAGTGCCCCAGCAGCAGCAGCAGCAGCAGCAGGAAGTGTGCAGCAGGAAGGGCTTTGTCACTCTCAGGGTTTGTAGTGTCACCAGAAATCATTGATAAAGCCACGGTTGCAACTGCTGGGCAAGGATTTTGTCAGCACCAAAAGCTGTTGGGGAGACCTGAGAGAGGTCAGCTCGACAGTCCCACATCTCCTCACTGCCCTGTCCAGAGTCTGTCCCAAATATCCYGCTTTCCTCACCACAGGAACCCAAACTGTTACAGAAATTTCATTACTCTAAAACCAGAATATCCTATAACTCTGGGAGAACATTCTCTTCTTAAAAACACCCCATATCCAATTTTTCTCCTATTTAACCTGCAGTGACACCCTCTCAGAGAGATAAAGGGGTTTACATTTGTAATTTCATGTCTGGTAGTTAAATTTCTGCTTTTGCTTCCACAAACAAATCACCTTCCTTTGTCTCTCGTCAGTAGTTTAAGCTCAGAGTGTCCTCATTTGGGTGTGCTCCTGTCTTGCCTGAAAACAGACTTTTTAACTGGACAAAAAATTCATTCTGGTAATTTAAAAAGAAATCCTCTCAAAAACATCATTATGAAGCAAGAGCTAATGTCTTTTGAGGGGAAAAAAAAAAGCTGTACAGGAAATAATATAACAATGGCAAAAATGAAGCAAAATCTGATTCYTTACTTTGAATAAGATCCTGACCCAAGCAGCCTGCAGGAAGATATTACAGTGTGCCCCACACAATGCTTCCATTGTGCAAAGCCCCAATGTCAAATGGAGAATTTCCACGTGTGAGTGGAACTGTGGYTTGTTGATGGGCAGCTTTCAGGGGGCTGCAATGATCCTGCACCCCCTGCCCATAACCCCAGCAGAATAGTGGGGGTTTACAGTCCAAACCCCCTTTAAACCTCTAAAAGACTGTGCAAAAATCYCAGCTGCTGGAAATCACTGCGGCTGTGTGAAAGGCAGGAGTGTGATATTAATATGCCCCAGCTGAAGGCCTGCTCCAGCCCCAGCCTTCCTTTCACATCCTCA